ATAACCGACGACGAAAGTAATGGCGCGCTCGTAGTTTCACGGGCACGGTCACAACAAACGAACGCTTTCACGCGAGGACCGCGCGGAGTATCGCGCCTTGAATTTCTATCCGCTTCCTTACGCAGCCGGGGATGAGTACTCCCTCCGTGCAGAGTCCCGTAAGGTTCAAAATTATGACGGTCGACTCTTTTTCAGAGCGCACCCTCGCTTATGTCTTTGAAAGATCGGAACTCTACGACGCTCCACGTCCGATCGAAAAATAGACGCTTTCGAAAAATGATTATTTCGCAAATGTTGAATCTCGCAATTTGCGACGCACCGCTGAAAACTTGCTTCATCGCACTTCCAGCTTCGGCTGCGTAAGCAGCGGCGCGATTCGCTTTTATTAAGAATTACCCGAGTCATTTCGACGCTTCTCTCGCGGTTTACCGAGCTACGATGTCTGCGCGCGCGAGTCACGTGACTCGGCGATTTTATTAACCCTTTAACGCTTTTTTATAAGTGTTTTAAGAATAAAATTTGAGTTTTTTTCAACTGAGACTGTAGTGATAACCAAAAAGAATGTCAGAATTTTATATTGGTTTCTTTATCGTTCGTTTCTTGTTTATTGGTAAATATGACTTGGATCCTTGGAAAGCGTGTATGAAATGAGCAACCTATACGGAGAGAAATGAAGGGTAATCTATACGACATAACTCTGACGGTCAGCTTGACATTTTTCAGCTGAAACTTTACTATATTTGTGAGTGAAGTTTATCATTCAGAGCGTCAAGCTTATCACATCACTCAATAAGTTCGTAGGATCGTAGGATAGATGGCGCTACTGTTGACAAATCCATATGATTTTTAGGAAGTACTAACCTTCAAATGTTACGTGTCAAAGTTTCGTGACAATCGGACGTTTAGTTCACAAGTTACAGTGGTTTTAGTGACGCTACTGTTTTAATTTTGAAAACAATGGAAAAATCTGAGTTTCGTGTGTTAATAAAGCATTGCTTTTTAATGGGAAAAAATACCGTTCAAGCGAAGCAATGGCTTAACAAGTGTTATTCGGACTCTGCTCCATCGAGACAAATGGTGGAGAAGTGGTTTGCTGATTTTAAAGGCTACAAATACCGATGACGCTGAACGCTCTGGTCGCCCAAATTCGGCAGTTATTCCAGAAAGCATAAAAAAAGATCCACAAAATAGTTTCGGCCGATCGTAAATTGAAGTTACGTGAGATAGCTGACACCTTAAAGATATCAGAATGCAGTGTATTCACCATTTTGCATGAACATTTCTCCATGAGGAAGCTCTGTTCGAAGTGGGTACCGCGTTTGCTCACAGTCAATCAAAAACAGCAACGCGTCGACGATTCAGCGGGCTGTTTGAAGCTGTTTCGGCGCAATAAAAAGGATTTTTTGATGCGGTATGTGACAATGGATGAAACATGAATCGATCACTACACTCCAGAGTCGAATCAGCAGTTAGCTGAGTGGACAGCACAACCGGCGAAACCTGCCCAGAGCGACCAAAAACGCAAATGTCAGCTGATAAGGTTTCGGCCTCCGTATTTTGGGATGCGCAAGGTATTTTATTTATTGATTACCTTGAGAAAGGAAGAACCATCAATAGGGAATATTATATGGCGTTAGTGGTGCGTTTGAAGGAAGAAATTGCGAAGAAACGACCCCAAATGAAGAAGAAAAAAGTGCTCTTTCACCAGGATAATGCACCGTGTCACAAGTCGCTCGCAACAATGGCAAAATTGCACGAATTGCACTTTCAATTGCTTCCCCATCCACCGTATTCTCCGGATCTGGCTAGTCCAGCGACTACTACCTGTTTGCAGGCCTAAAAAGAATGCTCCAGGGAAAGAGATTTGGCTCCGATGAAGAAGTGATTGCCGAAACTGAAGCCTATTTTGAGGCCGAAGATAAATCGTTCTACAAAAAAGGCATCTAAATGTTAGAGAAGCGTTGGAATCAATGTATCACTCTTGAAGGAGACTATGTAGATGAATAAAGTCAAATTTTCCCTAAAAGTTGTTGTTTTATTAGTCATCCTACGAACTTGAGTGATGTGATACCACGTATTTCAGAAGAATATCTTATGGATCACCATTTAGATAGTCTATCGTTCCTTCATTTTTCGCCGCATAAAAAACTGCAGGTCACCAGGTTTCGCCAGGAAAATAGGTTGATTTCTTGATTTTTGTGTCCACCATATTGGATTGGTATTCTTTTAATTTCACATTTTGCATCTGAGAAAGCTTCCAAATATATGAAATTATAGCAGATACCAATCTATTCATTTATAGTGCACTACTAGATGACAATGCTGACTATGCCTACTTGGAATTTGACAAAACATGTTATCATTAAAACTGAGCTGAAAACAGACCAAACCGAATCTACATACAATCGACATACCATTTTTTAGAAGAGGAATTCACCTTTACAGTGATGCAAAGAAAACGAAAAAATTCCCTTCTTTGACTGAGTTATGGATTCTTAAATGCGTCTCTGGTAACTATAGTTACCAGTAGGCGTTAAAGGGTTAAATCGCGATTTTACAATTTTACAATTTCGGCGAAATACGCGGGGAAGTACTCGGTCGATGGATTCCTCGTGCGGATGATGTCGCGCATCATCGCGTTAGGCCTCCCGAGCATTAATCCCCGTTCGTCGTTGCATTAATCCTCGATGTCTTTCACGTGCGTGCATGTAATATTAGTACCCGAGAGTCGCTTTCACTGCTATCGGAGAGTAACCTTTGCGAACGCCTGCGGCGGCAACGTGCCCGTGAAATTTGCATTTACCTTATCACGCTTCAAGTCCCGCTCGTGCCAATTTTATTTTCGTCGACAACGATGAGCGTGAGTGATGTTGCATTGCGACATGAAGAAAGAAAACTTTCCACAGGCGGAAGAATGTTGCCACGACTGGTCTCTCGAGAATCGTCCGCTCGGGCTAGCGTGATGTTATTCTTCAGAAAATAACTTGCTGAGTGTACATCGCGATTTTCTTCATCTTTCGCAAATAATTTGCGAAGTTTCGCTTTATTCGCCTCGTTTCTTGCCGCCTCGTACTTCGCGAGCAGTAAGCTGATACGTATATCCGTCCGGTAGCGTGATCACGTGACATTCCATGTGACATTGACGTTTAGCATTAGAAAGAACCAAGTATTACTGTTCAGCTCTATAATTATTTCACGTTAATTTCTTTGGCCTCGAATTTTAAGTTCTCGTTAAAAGTTGACTTCGCTCTTTTTCAGTCGTCTATAGAACGCGCTTAAAATTTAAAACGTCGCCGGTCGACCTCGAGACATCCGGCTTACACGATTTAGGCCCGGTTCCACAATTTACTATAAACGAAGTTTAACTCGTTAACCCTAATTTAGACGGAAAATTGCGTTCCACAACTGCCTTAAACCATGATGATTGTTGATTTCTCACAGTTAAAGTTAAACACAAAACTTTGAGCGTTTAATGAATTTAAACGAAGTTTAACACTGCAGCATCATCAATTTGAGAAACAAATTTATGACTATCCCGGTTTTGGAGTTCAGTTGACAAATATTTTGAACGTTTGAACGCCAAAGAGATATGGCTTTAGAATACATATTGTCTTCATCTAAAGGTGAAGATTTTGAAAACTTAATTTATCGACGGACAAGAAATATAAGAATAAGACGACCATCATATTTGGAAGAATTTGATAATGTCGATTTTCATGCACGATTTAGATTATCAAAAGAATCTGTTATTGCAGTTCTAGCAGAAATCGAGCATGAAATTTCTGATAAAACAGAACAGTAAGTATATAAATTTAATTTAAAATATTGGGTTTTTTGCTCCGACAGATTATATTCTAAAATAGAGTAGCAACTATACATAAAAGTCAATTATTATATGATAAATGCAATCAAATCAATAATATAAACTAATTGATTATTATTAACACTGGACTTCCACCTTTTAACAAATTAATACTTATACACAAATACAGCAAATGTTAATGTTGGTTAGTGTTTACTTGATACGAAACAGATATATGTGTATTGTTCTTTACTAGATGTCATAGCATCCAGCTTATTTCAATTTTCTCTCTTTTCACTTTTAGCAACAACCAATCGTACTTTACGTTTGAAAAGAAAGAGAAGTCCTTGACAGTTTTTTCATACAGACTGTACAGGTTTAAGTAAACTACAGTTAAAAATACGATGTCGCGACGGAACGCGATATAAGTTTAACCATGCCGTTAAATGTAACATCAGTTCAGATACAGTCACGGTTTAAACTTGATTTTGAGTGGAACTGGGCCTTAATAATTGCCCCGGATTTGTTAACGGTAAGGCACACGACGGGCAACATATGGGCGGCACGAATCTATCACAGAAAGAACAATGGAGGGAAGCGATCGAAGTAGTTCAAGCGCTGAATATATGGCGGCAACTCCTTTGCTCTGAGGTTGCTCTGAGGCTGACCGAATTATGCGCCGCGCAAACGTTATATTACCCCTTTACACAAATCTTCCCCCTCCCGGGGAAAAAATCACCATTTTGCGATTTGTCGGTTCGCTCGACACGGAATGCACAGGGAAGGCGATCTTTTGTGCTTAATTATCGATCGAATGTATGTATTCGCTGATTTCTTTTCCTTCTCGTGCATGGCAATGATGCGTCCTAGATATTTTTCGTGAAATGCTGACAGCCAATGAGCGCCGAACGATGACTCAATAATTCGCTCGTCTCTCTCTCTCTCTCTCTCTCTCTCTCTCTCTCTCTCTCTCCTTCTACGTCTAGCGAGCTCGAATTTTTAATGAAGCGTGAGCGTGTATACTTTGTGCCACTTGCGTGACACACATAATACAAAAATCAACGCCATTGTTTCCGTCGTTCGCATGAAAGAAAAAAGAAAAAAAAATCCGGGACGTGAGAAACAGACGCGGGGAGGGGGAGGGGGAGGGGGAGGGGGGTGCTCCCGCGTGTTGAAAAGACGTGGATGATCCGCTTACCGAAAAAACTGGTCCATCGTATTATCCAAAATGTCAGCAAAAGTTTGCCGATCATCTCACGTCTCTGGACTATCCCGGAAGCCTCTTTAAAAGTCCACCATCATTGCGAGCGGTTAGAAATCCATCGTCAGCCACGGCAGGCGTCTCGGCAGGTAGGTGCGGGGAAGACGTCAACGAGCTTGCATCCTCTCGCGTTTTACACGGCTCGGCGATAAGAGCGAGGCGAGGAACGAGGAGACAACTCTGCCGCGTTGTGTCGGCGGGAGAAAGATACACCGACGGTCTCCGGCGAATTTTCTCTTTCCCTTACAAGGCCGATCTCTCACTCGCGAATTATTCGCCTCTCTCGATGCCTAGGCTGCACCGGAGAATCGCCATTTACGCGAAGGTTTGTCGGCTGGCTTACGCGCGCAAATCGGCCCGATTGCGATCAATCCGCGGCGCGATAAGGACAGCTCGCAAGCGCCAGTGCTTTCGTCATTCTGGACACGTCCTCGACTATCCCGCGGCCAGGAGACACTGAAATATAGAGACGACTTGGGACGAGAGTGCGCGACGTCGTCACGGTGCAAACTCGTCGGCTCGACCGGCCGTCTGCTTTCTCCCCGTCGAGAGAGCCTCTCCTCCGAGCCTTCAAATTCACCTCTTGCGCAAGTGCGCTCTTACAAGTGACGTCTTGGCGCGCTTCTGACGAAGATGCGGCCACTCATGTGCGCAACCTCATGAGGCACCACAGGATTCACCTTCCCCCGCGGTCGGTCAGCGTCGACGACCCGGCGATGTCGAAACGCGTCGATTTCGCGTCGAAGAAACTCGCGGCGACTCGACATCGATCGCGATCCCGCGCGAGCCCGAGAGAGCCTGCTCCTCTCGCCTCTCGCCTGCTCGCTCGTATCTTCTCCGCTCCTTTGCGAAATTGTAGACCCGACGAAATGCGAACACGATTCCGCGACGCGGTTTTCACGACGCTCGATACGCGTTTCGGCGCGCCGTAACAGAAACGAGGAGAAAGAGAGAGAGAGAGAGAGAGAGAGCGAGCCGATGTACGCGCTACGCCTGTGGAAGCACGAGAGCTGCTGCCTCGTGGCCTACTATAACAGAACTGACTCCCACCGTGGTATTACACCGTCTCTTTACCTGCCATGAGCGGCAATGTACGGTGTTTAAACATCGTGCCTCGCGACGGCGATCGGCCGTCCCTCCACCACTCGGAGCTCTCCACCACCGCCAAGAAGGCGACGCGGCGACGTCACCGAGAGAAGTCTCGTCCGGCAGCTGTCAGGAAGGCTATTTTGCAGAATTTCTCAAAACGAACAATATATCGGAAACTATATCGGACCGCTGATTATGAGCGCTGTAGCAGGAAACTGCGTAGCGGAATATATATAAATAATACGCGCGCTCACGCTACTCGCAAATTGAAAAAAGAAATTCGTTCGTCAGAGCCGTTTTGTTTGTTAAGTACTCCGCGTAAAACGCGCGGCTTTCTAAAACGTGCATTCTCGTCAGCCTTTATAGCCCATCGTCGAAATCCAGATTGCAAAACCGAAGCGATCGCTCGCGATTCGGCGAGCCCGATATTTGATCCGCGCGACCGCGCGATGGAAGTAGTTAATCACTGTGCGAACACACGAGCGGTTAAACTGGAAGGAAGAAAAACTTAGTGTAGTCGGCCAGGCGTGTGCATTCTTCACTCCCGATTCTGTTCGCGTAACCGATCGGGAAGTCGGAGTCTACCTTGTTACTTTCGTAGATTACCGGGCATTACGTGCGTAAAATCTGCCTATAAATGTATAAAGACAGCCTCAACACGTAACGAGAATGACGTTTCCGCGACTAACCACGCGAGACTTCGACGTCGATAACCGTCGTGCGTGATTACTGTGTGATTACAACGCGCGAAAATGATTTTGTCGAGTGAGACGCGTTGTCGCGTGATTGAGGAAGATTGAGCGCAAAACTTTAACACAGAACGTATTTGTGTTCACTTTCTAACAATCCGATGTGCAGTCTGCGTGCAGTATCACCTCGGCTTAAAATTTCACCCAAAATAAAGTATTCTGTTTGTAAAGTGATTTCTCTCATAGTCTCATATTCTAAGCGAAGCCTCTTATCGGAAAAGGATTTCTCTTTTGATGAAACGATCAAAATGGACCATTCATCTGCAATTTATTAGGTATTATTCTAACTGTTTTCTTCTTATTTCAAGAGAATTTCCTCTTATATCAATTAACTTTCCTCTTATATCAAGAGGCAAGCTTGTCGGTGATATTCCTCTTCCATCTACTTACACAGAGACCACTCTCTGTGCGTGTGACGTCTAGAGCAAAGAAAAAAGAAGAAAGATCGTTATTCAGTTTGTGTTGTTTTTCCCGGTTGTTTCGTCATGAACGAAGTTCAAGAATTTTTGGAGAAAATCAACTTAAAGACATACTGGCCCATATATTTCAGCGCAAGTACGAGGGTAGTCCCAGAAGTACCTGACCTGACGTATAGATAGCGGTTGTTGTTTGAAAAGAATGACTACGGCAGAAAGTACCAACCTTATAAAGCTTAAGTTTGAAGTTTGACGACGTTACGTTGTTTAGTATTTGTTTGGCAGCCATCAATAAATAGTGAACGCTCTCAGTGAATTTGTAAACATGGAAAAAATTGGTCATCGTTATGTGATACAATACTTTCATTTGAAAGGCCTCAGTCCAACCAATATCAAAGCGGAGCTAGATTCTACTTCTGGGGGAGTCTGCTCCGCTCGTTTACAACAGTAAAATATTGGGTGGCAGAGTTTAAACGAGGCCGTACGAGCTACCAAGACGAACATCGCAGTGGTCGACCGAATGAGGTGACCACGCCAGAAATGGTGAAGAAAATCCACAAAATGGTATTGGATGACCGTCGACTGAAAGTGCGCGAGTTAGCAGACATGGTAGGCACTTCAAAAAGTGCTGTATATCGCATATTGACTGAAAATTTGGACATGAGAAAGCTGTGCGCAAGATGGGTGCCGCGATTGGAGCAAAAGCAGCGTCGTGTGGATGTTTCAATCGAGTGTTTGGCGAAGTTTCGCAGCAATAAAGCCGAGTTTTTGCGTCGATTCATAATCATGGATGAAACATGGGTCCATCACTTCACACCTGAGACGAAGGAACAGTCAAAACTGTGGACCAAGGTGGCTTGATGGCTATTTTGAGGAGCTCGACGATTCCCACTATAAACAGGGTATCGAAACTATTGAACATCGCTGGGAAAAGTGTATTGAGCTAAAAGGAGACTATGTAGAGAAATAAAGATATTTTTTCCCAAATTTTTTGTGTTTTCTTTGTTAGGTCAGGTACTTCTGGGACTACCCTCGTACATACATACACCCATTTATCGTAGCGTGTTGCACGCTACATTAAATTGGTCATTTGGAGTACCTAAAATTATAAATTTATGTTTTCTCCTACTTTTTCAGCAGAAAGTCAACAAAAATTTAACTAGAATTTTTTCCCGACAGTTTCATAATAATTTCCTCTTCTCTCCCTATAAAGGAACGTGTAATCAGTAAGAATAAAGTACAGTAAAAATAAATAATAAAAAAAGATTAAATAATCTGTGTATAAGAGGAAATTTATATTAAAACCAATAAGATTTGCATTATACATATAACATATAATTCCTCTTTAAGAATAATATATTTATAATAATTTCCTCTTAATCCTTTAAAATTTAGATGATTCCACTTGTTCTGAAATTACTTTTTTTGGGTGTTGAGAATGTTTACCAAACGATAATATGCGCCCTATCCGATTTTCCATGACCGTCACCGGTTGATACTTGATTCCATTATACCGGCGAGCGATTAATAACATTCATTACGATAGAATACCCGGTGTGTATATTATTGCTCCAGTTGAAACTTGTTAAATTCTTATCAACTAAACGGTAATATGCCCTGCTCGATTTTCCCTGACATCTCTCAACGTCAACGACATCTCTAAACGTATCCGATTCTGCTGCATCGGCCAGCGATTAATGACGTTCATTAAAATAGAATATATCCTGCGTGCGAATCGCTTCGGTGCTACCACATGCCAAACGCGTCCCAACGCTTTGGAGACGGCTAGTGTGTTCCATTGTTGCCTAACAAAACCTAGCACGGTTTTCTCGCTTCTCTGTCGCAATGACGTGATTTCACCGTGATCGAAAGTGCTCGCAATTATGTTCCATCGACGTGCCAACATATTATATCACGCTTCTCTAGTTCATCGGGACGGTTCGATATGCTAGTAACGAATCGGGTTTTTTTTCTGGGGGAGGGAGAAAAGGTAATTGGGCCGCGCTACGCGATATGAAGCTCAATGAAGATGAAACATGCGAATAGCCGGAGAAACTTTGGAGAAACAAATTTTGTCGAACAGTACAAGTTCCTCGAACAATGAAAATATACGAGCTCACGCGGTCGGCCGTCCTGAATTTGTCGGCGAAAGCAAGGAAAATCAGAGGAGGCTTAAAATATTTTAATGTGGCTAATTTGGTGTTATTATTACTTTAATGCTATCGCGTTTATTATTATTGTGGTGCCTGTAATAACAGGGACTCATTATATAGAGGCATCGTGGAAATAATACAGGAGAGAATTGTACACGGAAACGTGGAAAGTCAAATAACGTGTATGTTTCTACGTAAATCACCTATTCGCTAAGAGTCAGCAAATTGCCGAGAACCGAAAAGTGAGGTCAACTGACCGGATGAAATTTGCAGAAACTTTTTGATCCCATAATACATCACTTCGAGACTTCTTGCATCGTGTTTTCCCAGAAGCAATTAGGGCGCAATTAAATCGCGTAATTATTGGAATTATACCATAAATCATATACTGAAATTATAATTTTGAAATAGGAAACTATTCGACATGTCAAAGGCTTTCCTGCAGATTAGATTTCTTTTGTTTGGAGCGTTTGAATATCTCTTTTACGGCTCCCTTTTATCGTATGTATATACGCGCGTACATACACTACAATTTTTTTCCTAATATTCGAATCACCCTTTACTTCCTTCTTACTCCGTTATTTCATTGATCGTTTGAGTGAACACAGCTCGCGATATTATTTACGCTATCGCGCTTCTATACAACGTTATTTAGTATTCTCGTGAAAATCGCGAGAAATTACGGCGAACTGGCTGCGCCCATCTCTTGCGAATCGGCTGAACATGCCGATCATTTACTTTACTCTTTTAATCAATCATATTGCGATATTCGCACCTGTTCCATCACTTTCGCTTGCCGCTCGCGACGCGGCTGAGACTTTCAGTCATAGCACGTCGTCGAAAGTTCATCCGTCGTTTCGTCCGGTAATTATTTACGGTTAGCGCGAGGACGAAAAGTGCGTGCCGCAGCGCGGAGGCGAGAATCGGAGAAAGTCGCCGCCGAGGAAATCGTTCTAAAACAAATGTGACGAGCGTACCCTCCACGTACGAGCCGCGGTCGAGCCTCTCTTATCACGCGACATGCCGCAAAAATGGCGGAGCACGTGTGCTACTTGTGGAAAGGTACTTCTGGAAAAATACGTTGCCGCCTAATTACGTATATCGTACGTTGCAGTATTCGCCGAGTTCTGTGTAACGTACGTATCACGCGTGAACGCAAACCAACTGGCTTGGAGGATATGAGCGACGAGACGCCATGAAAAATCTGTCAACTTTAGGAGAGTTCGCGTGACCGTCAATATTTTGACTCAATAGCGATCCATAATCTATTGGGTTGGCAACTAAGTGATTGCGGATTTTAAATAAGAATGAAAATTCAAAATTTTAAATTTGCTTTTTTAAATTTTTTTCAATGCATGTATGCGATACATTGAGCTTCTCTGCGATATCACGTGTTGTGCTATGACGATCTGAATCGATAATGGCCTTGATATGGGTCTCATCGACTTCAACTGGACGGCCAGATCGTTGAGCATTTTTCAATGAAAAATCACCAGAACGAAATCTGGCAAACCAATTTTGACACTGGCTTTCTTTCAAGGCTTCATTCCCATATACGGCACATAACTTCTTGTGTGCTTGCGATGCGTTCTTGCCTTTTCGGAAATAATACAATAAAATATGTCTC